TTACATTGAGGTCTTTGATCCATTTGGAGTTGACTTTTGTGCAGGGTGAAAGATAGGGGTTTAGTTTCCTTCTTAAAAAGGTGCAGATCCAGTTTTGCCAGCACCATTTGCTGAACATGCTGTCTTTTCTCCAGTGAATATTCTTGGCCCCTTTGTCAAATTTTTATCAGGTGGCTGAAATTGTATTTACTCATATTTGGGTTTTTAGTGTTGTTCCATTGATCTATGAATCTATTTTTGTGCCGGTACCATGTTGTTTTTCTGACTGTGGCTCTGTAATCCCCCTGGCATTGCTCTTAGTGCTCAGGGTTGTTTTGGCTATCCGAGGTCTTTTGTGCTTCCATATGAATCTTAGGATGGTTTTTCCAAGCTAAATTTTTATCAGTACAGTCTCACTTTATAGTGACTAACCTAGTCATAAGTATAATTTATACCTTAAAAACATTTTTTCACCTAGTTTATTACGATTTGAGAATGAATGAACCTGGCTCTTAGAATATATACAAAGGTTTTGTTCATTTTTGTTTTTCATTTGATTTTAAGTACATGTTTTGCACATGCTTACAAAGTCCTCTGTTGTTAGTGGGCCAAACTATGTTAAAAATACTTTCCTTTGGATAAAAAGAAGTGCCAGCACAAACCCCTAAATGAATGTTTGCATTAGAAAGCTAAAACTAAGGGTTCTGAATCACTTTCATTTGAAGAACTGTTTGAAGTATATCTAAAGAAAATGTTTATGTTCTAAATCTTAATTTGGGGAAAAGGTGCTTAAATTATGATTGGCTTCTGATTATGGTGAACTGGTGCTTTTGTCTCTGGGTTTATTGCTTGCCCTTTCCTCACCTCAAACTCTTAATTCTGTTTCTTCTTGGATGGAACATTTAGCTTCTGATTCCAGCTGTGACAATTGTGTATGACTTTATACAGCTTACCAGTTAATCACCTAAGCCTTATGTCTTTGCTTCTATGCAGTGGGATTATATATTATTTAACATGTTGTAATTTTTAGCATGTACTCCAAGAGTCATGCAGAGATGGCTGCCTTTGGAAGCTTCCAGTGCAGAAAAACTAATAATATAGAGATGAACTCCCCCCCACCCCCCACACACTGGGATTTAGGGTAAGAAAGTAGAAGATGAAAAGTATTACAGAGGAAATTGAGAATCTTGAGTTTATAATTATGAGATAAACATAAGTTTAGTACTCTATTGTATGCATTTACCAATTTAAATAAAGTAGCACAGAAAGTCAGAACTAGAGTTAATTTTATCTGGCCTTACAAATTTGCCACAAATGTTTATTAATAAAAATAAGAGTTCATTTTACCAAGAAGACATTATAACTTGGCTGATAATGCCTCTTTCCTTCTCTCCTTTTCAGAGTATGTGTGTAACTGCTCTGACGTTGGAAGCCTAGATGTGAACCACTGCAACCAGACTACAGGGCAGTGTGAGTGTCAGCCAGGTTACCAGGGTCTCCACTGTGAAACCTGCAAGGAGAGCTTTTACCTGCACCCGACTGGCCTCTGCCAGCCGTGTGACTGCAGTCCACATGGAGCCCTCAGCATCCTCTGCAACAGGTAGGCAACAGAGGGTGGAGAATTTTGAATTTTGTTGTATTTTAGTAATGAAAAAATGTGTTGTTGGAGGGAAGAAGTGAGGGTGGATATGACCAAGATACATTGTATACATGTGTGAAAATTTCAAAGAATAAAAATAAACTTTTCTGCTATGAAGGATTAGACTCATTTAATTAAGGTTGGAAGCCACAGTATCATAGATTTATAAAATGCTTTATACACTTTTTTTTTAAATCTTTTTGAGACAGGGTCTCCCTGTAGCCCCACCTGGCCTGGAACTCACTATGTAGACCAGGCTGTCTTTGAACTCACAGAGATCTGCCTGCCTCTGCCTCCTGAGTGCTGGGATTAAATGCGTGCGCCACCACGCCCATCTGCTTTATACACTTTTATCGTGTCACTTTGTATATTATATTTGGTACCAGGATTATAAAGCTTTTTGTTTTTTACTTTAGTTCTTCGGAAGTACCTGGGCCATCAATTTTGCTTTGTGATGGTTTCTCTAAAATTTCATGAAAAAATTATTGAGGAGGGATTCTGTTTCCTGGAAGGGCTCCCTATCAGGCATTTCTAGTGGAAATGTCCTTACTGCATTTATTAATCTATGGCAGGGATTAAGAAAACTTGTTCTTTGGTTTATTCTGTTCCCGTATTAGAATTCTAGATTTGAACATTTAAGATCCAAACTTGGTTATATCTTTTGTTTTGTTTTCCTTATTTTTTTGCGTTTTGTGTGTGTGTGTGTGTGTATGTGTGTGTGTGTGTGTGTGTGCGCGTGCGCACGCACATGCCACCCAGCACGTGTGTGGAGGTCAGAGAACAACTTGTGGGAGTTAGTTCTCCCTTCCATCATGTGGGTCCTGGGAATCAAACCAAGGTGGTCAGGCTTGATGGAAAGTGCTTTGACCCACTAAGCCATCTGGTCTACCCTGTACTAATTTTTTTAAATGAATGGTAAGTAGACTTCCTTCCATTTATGAGTGTATATATGAGACTGGATTAAATTATCTTCTGTTTGGGGGTGACTTAATCTAGTGGAAGCATGCCGTGTTATCTGAGTATTGCTTTCTACTATACTGAAAGTAATTATTTTTTGCCCTTGTGTGAATACCTAGCATTTTGTGGCCCCCAAAGCAAAAAGCTGAAGACACAGTGTTACATAATGACTAAGACATGAGCTTTAGAGTCCTTTTCCCTGGGTGTGCGTCTCCACCCTGATGCTGCTTTAGGGCTGCACTGTGCTTTGAGTAAGTCCTTGCATTGCACTGAGCCTGTTTCGTGGAGTTGGTATATATAAAATGTTTAGCATACATCATTCAGTAACTTCTGATTTGTCTTAATTTCAAAGGCATATTGTTGACTTAAGTGAGGGAATTTAAAAATAAAATTTTATTAATTCTTTAAGAATTTCATATGTACATACAATGTATTTTGATCATATTTACCCCTCACTCTGCATGAGGAAATATTTTAAAGGAACTTTTATAGGTCCTTGGCAGAGAGTGTGCTTTAGACTTTGCCAGTAGTTTTTTTTCCCCCCTTTTTTTGGTCTTTTTGAGACAGGGTCTCTCTGTAGCCTCAGCTGGCCTGGAACTTACTATGTAGACCAGGTTGGCCTTGAACTCTCAGAGATCCTTCTGCCTCTGCCTTTCTAGTGCTGGGATTAAAGGCATGTGCCACCACGCCGGGCTCCAGTAAGTATTTTAGATGCTTTATAAACCATATTGTATTATTGTACAATAGTATATAATGCACTTCTGTTAAAATGTAGAAATAAACTTGACTGAGAAGTTTGTAATTTAGAATTTTAAATTTGCAATCATGAATGCATATGAAGTTTAGTGTCTTCAGATTTTGTTATAATCCTCATAGCAATGCTTTTTTTTTTCAATTCTTTTTATATAGGTTACTAGGTCACAAAGATAGTAATTGGCAGAGAAAGAATTCCAAATTAAGTCCAATTCCAATTCCTGTGGCCTTGCCACCATGCCACATGGCATCTATAATGAGAAGATTCCTGCTCTGATTTTTTAAAATTATTTATTTAATAACCACATACTTAAAAGAAGCATTTCATTACAACAGCATTAACATATTTGATAACAATTTCCAGAACTGAGATGCATCTCTTTCAAAATTGGCTGTAAATTTTTTGGTTGACAGTTGAATTCAGTTATACAATATTGGACTCAGGATAAACCCTATAAGACAGAAATTTAAATGAGGTTTTAACCTTTAAAAAAGATGTACATTTTATTATTAAAATACAGTTTCATACGGAAAAATTCATTTTAATGCAATTAACACTAAGATGCTTGCACATGTATTTCTAATCTCTATATATCTGATTATTACTAGTCACAATTGGTTACTTTCTGAGATTTTTGGCATCTGAGAATGGATCTAAACTCATTAGTTAGATTTCAATGGTAATGTTTTTCACATCTACTAATTATTAAGGAGCAAATTTTTATGCTTTGAAGAATTATTTTTTTTAATTTTTTATTAATTGTTTATTTAATAACCATATACTTAGAAGAAGCATTTCATTACAACAGCATTGACATATTCAATAACAATTTTCTGAACTAAGATGCATCTGTTTCAAAATTGGCTGTAAATTTTCAGATTTACAGTTGAATTAATACATTAATACAATATTGAACTCAGTATAAACCCTGTAAGATATAAAATTGAATGAATTTTTACCCTTTAAAGAAGATCTCCATTTCATTTTAAAAATATGCTATTTCCTACATATTTAATGCTACTAATGCTTAGATGTTTACACATGTGTCTTTAATCTCTCTGTATCCAATGATTACTAGTCACAGTGGGTTACACCGGATCCTTAGTACCTGAGTATGGGTGTAAAGTCATCAGGTAGATTTCACTGGTAATATTTATCACCTCTACTATTTAACATGAAGTAAATTTTTATGCTTCCCCCTCAAATATGCCTTTTTTTAAAATTTGTTGATTTTTCTGTGTGTATATCATACAGAACATCCTACACAATCTTATTCATCTATATACCCACTTCCCAAATGTCACTCTCCCATAGCCTCCCCCCTCCCACATACTGGAGCCCATATACTCTGTCATTCCTGTTATTGTGCTCTGTGTTGTCAACATCCCCAGCCAGTCTCCAGTGTTTGTCTGTCTGCTGAATCTAGTCAGCCTATCTAGAGATCCTTGTTTTAGGAGGATCAGCTGTTCCACGTCTAGCAGCAATCAGTTGTCAATATTCCTTTAGATAAGATTGGGGTCTGATGTTCATTTTCCCAGTTCTATGCTGTCTGGGAGTCTCTTGTGCCATCTTGGCCAATAACTCAAAGGAAGGTATCACCTGTGTGGCATTGTTTCTTGTTATGTAGCCTTTAGCTATACATATGGACTCTTAAAAATTATATTTGACCCCATTAATCTTTGGTTAAACTTTCCTTTTGGGTGTTTAAGACCCTACAGTTGGCCCAGATAAAACAATTTATTTTTACTCTTAAGGTCGTTTGAGGATTGGTTCCTCAGGGGTCACATGGGCTCGGGAGGAGCCCCTGGCTCCTTTCTCTTACCAGTCCCGCCTATATGAAGATAAGTCAAATGTCCTGCTTGACCATGGTTGGCTTCGCTTGGAAGCATGGAGGAAATGATTCCTCTGTGTTGACCCTCCTATTTGTAGACTGGACACTGGTTCAGGTCCATTTGGTGCGGTCTCTATGGCCCCCTTGCTCAATAGGACAGGTGACTCACCACAGTTACAGGACATTTTGAGAGATGTTCAGAGTCCCCTGGAACTTAGTCGTCCTAGGAGGGCAAGGAGCAAAAACTGTCCTTTATGTTCCTCCGACCAAATTAGTATAGACCTCAAAGTATGGCTGTTAAACATCCAAGAAGGTTAGTTCCACCATCTGGTACTTTTAATTACCATATTCCATGTAGTTAGAGCTTGGGCAAAGACCAAACGCTGTCAGATAAACCTTGCCTAGGCATATATTGTATTCTTTGATCTGGTTGTATGTATAATTTGTCGGTAGGTTGTTGGCCTAATATGGTTCCTTCTGGTTTTCTAAAACTAGCTAGGCATTGTATTATCTCTCACATTGTCTAACCTTTCCATCATGGTTTCCCCACTTAAGGTGCCCCCATTTTCCCATTTCTCCCTTAATAATGCCCTTCTCCTATGGTCCCACCTCTCTTGAGCTCCTCCTTTCCCTTTATCCCCAAGGCTCCTTGTCTAACCCTTCCTCCCTCCTCCCCTTAAAATAACCCCATTTTTTATCCATATTTCCCTTATTAATGCCCGTTTCCTACTGTTCTTCTCTTTCAAATTCTTTCTTTTCCTTTACCTCCCTGGTTCCTTTTCATTATCCTGGTTCCTTTCCTGTAGTTATGTCTGGATACATATTCACTTATAAGGATTTGATGCTAGAATCCACATATGAGGGAGAACTTATGCCATTTTTTTCTGAATCTTTGTTACTTCACTTAGTATAACAGTTTCTAGTTCCATCCATTTACTTGCAAATTTCATGATTTCATCTTTCTTAACTGCTGAGTAGAACTTCATTGAACAAATGTACCACATTTTCATTATCCACTTATCAGTTGAGGAGAACTTAGGTTGTTAAGTCTCTTAGCACCACAGAGAGGCTGGATACAGGCACTCTCAGGCAGTCTACAAAGGTCTGGGTCCCTACTGAAGGGCATAGAAGCTTTACTCTGTTGCAGTGGGAGAGACTACATTGGTCCCAAGTTTTGTGATATCTTGAACTGAGAATCTGTGGGTTCTGATCAGTTGGGGCTGCTAAGAATCAGCTTTGATTAAGAAGAGACCAGAGCCATTGAAGTGAAACCTTTGTTTTACAGGGACAATTGATGCTGGTTACCTAAGGCTGATAAATCAGCTGTGAGTAACAAGAGACCAGCTTTACTATGGCAAAATCTTCTGGGAAGTATTTCCTCAGGGCCGCAACACAGAAACTATGTCT